ACTCACCCGAGCGCGTGACTCATCCGACCACGGGACTCACCCGAGCACGTGACTCACCCGACCATGGGACTCACCCGAGCACGTGACTCACCCGACCACGGGACTCACCCGAGCACGTGACTCACCCGACCACGGGGCTCACCCGAGCACGTGACTCACCCGGCCACGGGACTTACCCGAGCACGCGACTCACCCGACCACGTGACTCACTCGAGCATGTGACTCACCCGACCACGTGACTCACTCGAGCACGTGACTCACCCGCCCACGGGGCTCACTCGGGGCATCGGACCACCGGGCGCGCTCGACGTGAACGGACCCTGACGCCAGCTGACGGGGCCTGTGCGCGGGTTAGCCGACCTGCTGGGGTGCGACCGCGTCTCCGGCCCAGCTGATGTCCGACGCTGTCTGATGTCTGACGCTGTCTGTGTCTGACGCTGCTTGATGTCTGAAGTGCCGTGTTCGCGCGGCGTCGCGCGGGCCGGGTGGGACCACAGAACTGAGGGCGGCAGGACCATGGTGCTCAGGCCTGCCGCCGCGCTGGTGCCTGGGTCTGACGGAACCGATGGTGGACGTAGGGGAAGAGGTGGTGACGAGCAGGATAGGGTGGTGACGGGCGAGCATGAGGTGGTGACGAGCGGGGATGAGGTGGTGACGAGCGGGGATGAGGTAGTGAAGAGCGGGGATGAGGTGGTGACGAGCGGGGAGAGGTGGTGACGAGCGAGGATGAGGTGATGACGAGCGGGGAGAGGTGGTGACGGACGGGGATGAGGTAGTGACGAGCGAGGATGAGGTGATGACGAGCGGGGAGAGGTGGTGACGAGCGGGGATGAGGTAGTGATGAGCGATGGTGATGTGGTGACGAGCGGGGATGAGGTGGTGACGAGCGGGGATGAGGTGATAACGAGCGGGGAGAGGTGGGGACGAGCGGGGATGAGATGGTGACGAACGGGGATGAGGTGATAACGAGCGGGGAGAGGTGGTGACGAGCGGGGATGAGGTGGTGACGAGCGAGGGTGATGTGGTGATGAGCGGTGATGGGGTGGTGACGAGCGAGGATGAGGTGGTGACGAGCGGAGATGAGGTGGTGACGAGCGGGGATGAGGTAGTGACGAGCGGGGATGAGGTAGTGACGAGCGGGGAGAGGCGGTGACGAGCGAGGATGAGGTGATGACGAGCGGGGAGAGGTGGTGACGGACGGGGATGAGGTAGTGACGAGCGGGGATGAGGTAGTGACGAGCGGGGATGAGGTAGTGACGAGCGGGAGAGGTGGTGACGAGCGAGGATGAGGTGGTGACGAGCGGAGATGAGGTGGTGACGAGCGGGGATGAGGTAGTGACGAGCGGGGATGAGGTAGTGACGAGCGGGGATGAGGTGGTGACGAGGAGGGACGTGATGCGCCGTGGCGAGGGGCACCTGTATCTCGCAAAACCGTGAGCTGGACTGGCGCAGACTCCCAACGGGTAGACTGAAGCGGAGAACCTGGTAACTCTCGTTAACCCGGTAACCCGGTAGCTCTTGGTAACCCGGTTAGCTTCAAACAACGAACGCTCTGGAATGAATAGCCTCACATTAATTCGCTACATTCTTACTTGTTGCAAAGAGAGCGTGGGGAGGGTTTTCGCGGCGAATTAAGTTCAGTCATGGCGCGCTACAACTATCCCTGGTTGTTTGAACTGTCAGAACTGTCGCAATCTGCCTGTAAACGCTTAGTCGACGAAAGGACTGCACCGTCTCCATCCTGTTGAGGGCTCGTCGCTCTGTTTGAACGCTGCGCTGCCACCCCGGCAAGAAAACTCACCCGCATCATACGATACACCACTTTATTTAGGCGATACTGATATTAAAACTGTACAAGAATGCGACATTGTGCCACGTCCCATACAGTTCTTCTTGCCCCAGTCTCCCCGCACATCCTCCTGCGTTAGCGTTCGAGTATCCGGCGGCCTGGTGACCAAAACTCAACATTAACGCGGCGTATTCAGACAAACTGTAAGACGGCACTAAACACAATTTCAATAAAAAACAAATCAGCAGCGGATTCAATCGCGCTGCATAGAAAGAATCAAACGGTCGCACCAACAGCCTGATTGCCCCGTCCGCGAGCGAGCGCAGACGCGCCGTCCACGGGACAACAGCCTGATTGCCCTGTCCGCAAGCGAGCGCAGACGCGCCGGCCACGGGACCCAGGTGGTGCCGATCACAGACCGCTGGGCCCATGTTCACAGGACAGTCCGCACACCAGCATCTTGTGACGCCCTTGCCCGATCACAGTCCATCACTTGACCATGGCCGGCCGCAGCTCCGGCCGACGGCCGTCGTCGACATTAGATGCCGCTCCGTCCCCGAAATGGCGCCTCTCGCCTGGCCATTAGACAGCGTTGAACACTGTTTTATCACCTGCGGGGGCGCAGCGGCGCCGCGACGTCCAGCAGAGGTCACTCAAGGTCATGCCCAGCCCGCGGTCTCCCTCGCAGTTCAACACAAACGGTTCCTAACACATGCCAAGAACATCAAAGAAATATTTTACAGTATGTTACAACACGAACCTAGCCCAAAACCTCGGCTCCGAAAGCCCGGTTCCGCTCCGGCCGCCTTTACAAAATTACAAATCAAGCTGACCGTGGCCCGTAGCCTACGCCTAAAGTACAACGAGAGAAGTAACACGTAACAACCAACAGGCGACGCTAGCCAGCAGCGTTCGGACACTCAGTCGAGGCAGACCCAGAGAGCCACGCAACCGGCAATGCAAACGAACAAAGCGCACGGGCGTGCCCGCAGCCAGCAGCCAGCGGGGGCAAGGCCCCTACACACCACCAACCACTGAACGAGAGGCGCCGGGCCAGCCGCCGGCGCCCTACGTCCCTGCCCTGAACCCGTGCACGTCCGTCCAGCCTGGTCCAGCCAGTACCCTGTTTGATTGTTGCCAAGGTGGTTATGTACAAGTGCCGGTTTGATTGGATTGGACAGCGCGTCTGCGCGCGGGGCGATGGCGCGCCGCGTTGTTCTGCGCAGTGCTGTTGCCCCGCCTGGTACGCAATGCGGTGGCTGTCATCAGGTTTGGAGCAGTGAGGAGCCAGCGGCCCTTCTATGCAGGCGGAGCAGCAGGGGTGGGAGACGCCCTACTGTGTCTGAGAAACAAGAATGACAGAATCCTCGAGCGAAATAACGGCCCGTGAGAACACCTGCTGGTCCCTGTGTCTTCGCAACCCCGCAGGTGCCAGCTGGGTGGGGCGCAGCAGCTCGCACAGAGTTGGAGTGATAGCCCGGTTCTGATCCCCCACTGCACCACACACCCACCTAAGCGCCACAGAACCGCAAGGACCAGAGGCCAGATTTTCCTAGAGTTCGTTGGCGAGTGATACGACATTGAAAGTTGGCGCGACATGCCGGCGGGTTTGCCGTGTCGGGTCATCCACCTCTCAGCACCCCAGTGCGCACGTCACTCGGGTGGTAGGTCAAGGTCAGCCAGCCCGAGCCAGCTGGGTAAGCGGTCTGGCCACCGCTCTCGGCGCGTTCAGAGAACAAGGAGGTCTGCACTGGGACCATGCTGCCGAGGACGGCTGGGCCAGGAGGAAACGGCCAACGTGCATCGGTCTCGTTCACATCGGCTCCATCTGAATCAAAACTGAGGCGACACAGAGCTGGTCGAGATTATGCGGATTGCTATGACGTGATTGTACTCGGTGCCAGCAGAACAAAACGTGACATTATCCGATGCCGGTAAAAATAAATGAGTTCACCGCGAGCAAAAGCTCGGTATGTACCCTGAGAACGTCGAAAATACAACAGCGTACATTCGAGGCGTAAAAACGGGAAGTTTTCAAGTGGGCCGAGGCAGAACCCAGAAACATGTTACATTCTCTGCTTGATTTATCTCAAGCCAGACTGCCAATACTAGCCAGGGCAAATCCAGGGCGTCAGATACTGAGATGTCAAAATTAGATAATTTGAATATCTTGAAACGGCGATTAGGACGTTTAGAATCAAATAAGAACTGGATCATCTTATTCTTATCTAAGATTGCATGCCTAAAATTGAATAGTTGGGAAGCTGCGTGCGCGTATCACCATTGGATATTTGCAGCAGCACTGAAGCAGGCCCAGCAGCATCTCAGCCTCCTGCGTCCTTGGTATAAAACTCTCTATGATGATTCAAACAGATGTCTATGATTCTAGAGACCACACAGACACCCACGCACCCTAGAATGATGTGGATTATTGTATAATACATTAGGGATGAGGCATGTTCATTTGGGCAACCCTAGAGCATCTTACAGGCCAATTTTAGTAACACATAACACACCTCGTGCTCATAGTGCCTACTTCGGCATCATACAAATACTTGAATACTTTCCGCGAAAGTGGCTTATAATCATCCGAAGTGAAATCATCAGTACCCCACCATAAACGTAACGCTCCACTGCTACGCTTACAGCCAAGGTGGCCGATCCCTTCAATTTGCTGTCAGGCTACCGCACTAGGAAAAACGAAACCTTGTGACGAGATCGCGCAAACTAAAACCTACAGCAGAGTCGCACCCGGTGATTATTGTCCTGCCGTGCCATGCTCGCGCACTGCGATACTGGGCCGACCTAAAAGGATGACACGGAAGGAGAAAATAATCCTTAAGCACCGCTAACGGGACGGTCTCGTCGAATCCACCCTCCTGTTCAAGGAAACAACCACGACATCGCCCCTTCTCAGAAGCGGTGGAAAGGCCGCACAGCCGGATATGCGTCGCGTGCCATGGGTGGGTGCGGACAAGCCCGGCGGACGGGCAACGCCCTTCCCCTTTTAAAGCCAACCGTCGATCACGTTCTCTAGCCGGCGTTACTTGTCCTCTGGCCGACAGCGCTGCCCCGTCCCCTCCCCTGTCCCGGCCGCGCGCCAGCCCGACACCCAACGACTGACCACGGGCGCGCCCACCGGGCTCGGCACGGCGCCGACTCAGTTCCCCGTCGCTCCGCCAGGCGGCAGCAACGGCGGCGCCATCACAACCTACTGCGAGTGCGGCGGCGGCTGCGGCTTCTCCTTGAGGCCGAGCAGCTCGCCGCCACGCTGCTGCTGTGCGTAGCTGCTGATCTGGTGCAGCGAAATGAAGCCGCTGGCGTTAGCGGTTGCCTTCAGCTCCGGCCCGGCGCCGCCGCCCTTCGGGAAGCTGTTGGGGTCGTAGAAGTAGCGCTGCGACGTGGGCGCCACCTGGAGTGGCAGGCCGCCGCTTCCCACTGGCGCCATGCCACCCTGGATCGGCGTGAAGGCCGACGAGGCGGCCACCGAGGCGCGCGGCATCGGCTCGTAGATGACGTTCTGTGCCAGGCTGTGCGCCGGCCGGTGCTCGTCTAGGTTGAGCACGCGGTGCTCCAGCGTGTCGCGGCCGGCGTGCAGACGCGGGTCGTCCAGACTGAGCACGCGGTGCTCCAGACCGTCGCGACCCAGGTGCAGCCGGGAGGGGTCCAGCGGCGACTGCAGGCCACCACCATTGACGTCGAACTCGTCCTTGGGCCAGTACGGGTTGTCGATGCGCTGCGGCACGGCCTGGCCCGTCCCGCCGCGCTTGTCCATGCGGTCGGCGTGCTTCTGCATGTGCTTCTGCAGGTACGTCTCCTGTGTGTAGCTCTTGCCGCAGTACGGGCAGATCTGCGTCTTAGGTGCTTCGACTCGCGGTGCTTGGGGATGTGCTCGAGCAAGCTGGCCTCGTCGGTGAAGCACTTGTAGCAGGAGTTGCACTTGTACGGCTTGTCTGTCTGGTGGCAGCGAGAGTGGCTCTGCAGGTTGGAGAGCTGTGAGAACGCCTTGGAGCAGCCCGGGTGGCGACACTTGTACGGCTTGTCGCCCGTGTGTGTGCGGATGTGCTGCTGCAGGTGCGACAGCTGCGTGAACTTGCGCTGGCAGATCTCGCAGCGGTACGGCTTGATCCCCAGGTGGATGCGCGTGTGTTGCGACAGGTACGAGCTGTTGGCGAACGCCTTGGAGCACTGGCTGCACTTGTACGGCTTGGCCTCGCGCATGTGCACCTGCACGTGCATCTGAAGATCGGCCTTGGAGACGAACATCTGCCGAGCAAGGGGGTCGGGTTAGCTGACCACGCCAGGCAGGACAGTCGGTAAGCACGGAGACGACGACCGCTCCTCTTCATGATCATGTAGCAGTCCCAAACTGCCACGAGATGCACCCGGGGATCCCTGTCGGCGCGATCCACAGATGACGGCTCAAAACGGTCAGGCATACAGAAGGCATGGCGAGAACACCGATGCTGTCGCCGGTACGCCACGCCATCATGGGTCAATGTGTGAGTTCAGCGACTGGCATATCTACTCGGCCACCTGCACCAATGGTGATCCATTGCACCACCCTGCCACTCAGACACCACTTGCACATTTGATTATCTGGATGATGCGAATACAGATAATTAGAAACGCACGCACCATCGATAAATAACCAATTGCATTACGTTGTGACCCGCTGAGTCAGCCGCCGACACGGTGCAAAAGCAGCTTCGATCGTAGCCGATTCCGAGCCATTCCAAATCCGACATTGTATCTGCCAAGTGCCAAATACGCAACCATGGAGAGTGGCAACATCTACACAACGGTTGCTTCGTCAAAGCGAGTTCATGTAACTAAGTTCAAAAAATACTCAGACGCAATCCAACAGCATTGATCTGCGGACCACCTAGATGGAGGAAACGATGATGGAAGAATCACATCTCATTTCGATCTCGAATCTGAATTAATGAACGGAGCGGGAAGTGTACTGTGACCGTGCCCGGTCCGCCCTGTCGTAGATATTCTCTTGATTATTATGCGCCGTAAGGCGCGAGCTATCGTCTTTCCTGACCATGTAACGCAACGTATTTTATCTTATTTAGTTTTGGGCCAACTCCGCGGCGGTCGGCGAGACGAATTTCACGTTCAAATTACGCGTGTAGAAGTGCAATGTTCATTAGCCTCGCACCCACCTGCCCTCAAATTCTTGATTTACGTGTTTAATTGAAGGAATATACTTGCTGCTATCGACTGATGTCAGCTGTTGCCGAGCGTCCACCCCACAACATGCAGTGCAGAGGCAGTACGTGTCTGACACGCGCTCACGTGGTACATACGCTGTACAAAGCGAACATGTGTGAGTGCTAGGCGCCAGCACGCCTTTTGCGATCTACCCCTACCCAACCATGGCTGTTACACGCTTGGAAGCAGACCGTTATCCCGCACTCTCTTGGGCGAGGCGTCTTGAAGACCAAAAGAAGTTGTTACCACCCCTGATGCCAGACCCGCCCCCAGCGTGTACTGGGCTGGTTGGGAGTTGGTAAGCGTGCCTGCGTTAGCCCTTTCACGAATTCAGATAAGCTTATCCAGGTCAAGTGCATTACTTCGCCAGAAGCAAAGGAGCCTGACAACAGGCAGCAACTGTCGACCTGGCCGGACAACAGGCATCACCTGTCCACCCAGCCTGACAACAGGCATCACCTGTCTACCTAGTCCGACAACAGGCATCACCTGCCCACCTGGCCTGACAACAGGAGTCACCCGCCCACCTGGCCTGACAACAGGAGTCACCTGTCCACCTGAGGCCTCCGCAGGTCGGCGACCCGCCAGTCGGCGAGGCAGCTACCACAGCCGACCAGACGGGCGCACAGTTTCCCATGAGCGGCGCGCCGGTGCTGGGGTCAGCGGTGACGTCACAGGAGAATCCGAGCGCGCCGGAGCCAGGTGGCGAGGACGCCGAAGAGCGCTCTGTTGGCGTCACGCCGTCACATCCAAGTCACACGGCAGCGCCTGTGCGCCGCCGCGCCGGGGGTGTTGTGAGCACGCGCCGGCCGCCCTCGCGCCCGCTCGCAACGGGCGCTTCCACTAGGGGCGTGACATGACATCTCGCCATGACCTACTGACCCTGCCTGCTCCGGGTGCGACTCTCAGTGACGGCGGTGCCAGCTGGGACAGCAGCCGAGGTGGCGGTGGGCTGATGAAGTGGCGGCTATGGTACGGGAACGGGAATCTAGTCCGACCGCCCTAACTCATGCGGCGGCCGCTCCAACGCCGTTTGGGCCAGCCCGACCGCACCAGTCCTGGATGACGACAGATAGGCACCGGTGACACCGGTTAGCACCGGTGACATGTCGGTAGTCCATGATGACGAACGGATGGCACCGGCGACGTGTGGGTAGTCCATGATGACGGGCTGGCGAGTCCAGCGAAGGGCGGGCGGCTCCCACGACGGCCCGCCAGGCAATGACGGCCGATATCACCGACATAAAGCCGTGATGGAAATCATCCAATAGTCCAGGATGCAGCCAAAGTGCCCGATATGTTCCCTTCACCACTAGGCGATACTCTGGCAGCCTGTCGATCGGGCGACCGCGCCAACGACATCGGGCGACGTTCCAGCAGTCTCCGATGGCGGTTCAACAGTCTCGACAGCCTCCGGTGCCCGTGTCCCGCTCGTCCGGGACCCAGGATGACTGGCAGAGTGACGGGTGGGCCGACAGAGGGGGCGGAGGTCGCGACCCGAGGACCAAGGTCAGCCGCCAGTCGGCCGCGGCCTTGAGACCCAGCTGATCAACGCCGGGGCGACGCCGGGTCAGCGCTATCACACGGCCCGAGAAGGGCTGGGGCTGAGGC